GCCCAATATATTTACACATGTCATTGATATTATCGTTTGACCACATTTCTTAATTAAACAAATTGTCTGCAAATCTATGTATTTACCATACATTAAGGCATATGTTCAAAGGCTTTTGATATGTTCTGATTTGACATACATTTCAGCCGACTATAAAGACTTACAAATATATTCCTTTACAATACATTTGACAGGTCTCTGCATATTAAAGGAAATGATGCTTTACACCCCTCTATAAAGTTCTCGTTTTGAATTGGTTTACATACCAGGCAAATGTAGATGCACCTTACACTTTATAACCCCTATAAAATTATTTGAATGATGATGCTTTGCTACCTAGACAAAGAAACACATTTGCGGATAAATTTACATCATAGAAAAATACATGACAAAGATTTCCATTTGCAGAGGTATACAAATACATAAGTTTGCGAAAGTTTTGAGATGGTCATAAATATATGCAAATTCTAAACTTTAAAATGGTTTGATTAGGTGTTAATATATTTTATAAACCGCAGTCTCTCATAACAGCCCATAGGAGGGTATAGCACAAGAAATGTTGATATTTACTACATGTAAAGACAAGATAAACTAAATGCAGCGGTTTGTTAATATATGTAAATGTCGGTCTCTGAATACATTTACATAACATTTGCATACCTCTTCAAATCCGGGATTTCGTGTAGTGTATTCTACCGAAATTTACCCATAGGAACTTACTCTTTTTATGCCCTTTTTTACCAAATTTTATGATAAATAAACGCAAAGTTTGGCCATGGATACACACAAACAAAAAAGAATTACATTCACCATGTATATTTTTCGAAAACAAATCTATTGAAGACACTGATACCATACATATGCAAATATATGACACAAACAGTTGACTCAATGTATCAGAAAGCAAGGAATAGAAGGTGATTAAATATTCTGTGTTTCAATTTTACTTGTATTTTCTTACTTTGAGAGCTACATACATCATTTAACACTCATGGGTTACCAGAACACGGAACGAATATCAGATTTACTAAATAAAGTATATCGAATCAATGAAACTCTTAATGTCACTGCGTAATGTAACACATTTCTCGTATATTTACTAATTGTAAATTGGGCGTTACTTACACAGAATATTCACGTAAAGTACATGTATATATAAAGCAATTTATCAATGTTCATTGAAAATAACACAAATAATTCGCTGGCTATAAAACCATATTTAATTCATCACTTTCTGCATAAGGAAATGCCTGTACTTAGTCACTTAGATTTTCCTTTCGCTTGATGTGTTTGAGCTTTAATTTTAATATTTGATAAGTAACTTACAGTAAACATGCTTACAGTAAACTTTCAGTAAAATTTGATTATTGCCTTGTGGTGGTTAGCTATATATATGGTGTACTAATTTTTGCATCTTTTGTTTGGGGTATACCATCTTTTCCGCAAGTTTATTGTTTTCTGTTTGGTATTAAATTAATAGATCAGATCCATTTTGTTACATCTGGTGATCCGTTTATTTGGCAATCGCCAATGGCAGTCAGCAGGGTTTAAGAACATCCGTTGTACACCATATCCGGATTTCGACAATTAATGTCTCTTCAGTGATGTAAGGAATCGAAACGGTATTGGAAGGCCATATAATTTACCTCAATTTAGGATAGACTCTTGAATTTTGAAGAGTCGAAATAGGATGAACGGATCATATAAACCCGAAGGCAAATATAATACAAGCCCAAACGAAAAAATATAAACAAGTCTAAATTGAAAACAACGTTCAAACCTATGATTGAGTTGGATAAAAACCGCAATTTTTATACGTGTGCATGCAAAACAAATTTCTTGTTAGAGGGGTCTAAAAACAGCACAAACAACATTTTCCAAAAGACCAAAAAAGTGAAAAAGTATATTTAAACAAAACGCATTTGACTAACAGGTCGAACAACAAATGTTCCTAAACCCTGCTGACTGCCATTAGCGATTGCCAAATAAACGGATCACCGATGTAATAAATGGATCTTAATTATAAATTTAAAATATATATATATATACAATTTTATTAAACTTATTCAATCGCCAATAAATACACACTTTTGCATTACTAAAGACATTAAATCTAAAGCAATTTCCAATTATTTTATTTTAAGTTTACAGAAGATGCCATGATATTCACATTTAAGAGTTCTTACATTTGACCTACACGCAGATGTACTCATAATATATGTACAATGTATAATCTTTAGTTCAATTTACCAAACGTTCAAATTTTCAATTCTTTGAATCATCAATTGCCGAAAATTTCAGACATTTTTTCTGGATGCATTAATGTAAGTTCTTCATGAAAATGTGCTTGCATCCTTGCTCCAATGATTTGTTATGATTACTGTAAACTAACTATTTTTCGCGAGCAATTTATTTTCGCGAAAAATCGTCACGAACATGTAAAACTTCGATCTTTTATTATTCAACTGCATCTTGTAAATTTAAAAATCGCAAAAATTAAATTGTCGCGAAATCGGATATGAAGGACTTAGCACGAAATAAAGTATCCGCAAAAATAACTTGGTTTACAGTACTTGTAATAATATTTTTGAATAAATGCGTGATACTCATCCAATGTTAGGCACGGGATTTAAAATCTATGAATTATGCACAGTTAAACTAATGACCAATTTTAGCAAGTGATTACATTGATGACAATTTATGACAGTATACCTATACTCAATTCATTATATGTCACAAGAGAAACATGAATAATAGTACGTCAAAACTTAATCAAGTAAATAACTGGTTATTTAAAATGCATTATTAAAGTGTTATTACTGCACGTTCTCAAGGATACCGAAAGCTCAGTAGTCAATGCTTTGACTGACATGATTAATAACATATATAATTCTCCACTTAGAAGATAGGAAGTGACTACGAAACTAGCTTTTTTAAAAAATCAGTTGGTAAAGGCTGCTCAAAAATTCAAGTGTTATCTTATCATTGCTTATAATAGACTTATCGTTTTGAATTTTCTATGCAGTTCGATATTATGGTTAAATTACTTTTTTTAAGTTTTAACTATAATAGTTGTTCACGAAGGTAGATTCCGAAAAACGCCTTTGACGTAACAAAATGTATTAAGTTTTATATTTATCGATAAGCGCTATAAGTGTAAATTGAATAAAACAAATCGTAAACCCTGAGTTTCGCCTACCATTGCTGATGTCAGTGTAATATTAACTAAAAAAGTTATTATAAGTCAGAGTAAAATGCATAATTTCGAAAATAATAAAATGCCCTTTTGAAGGTGCTATTTTTTCCATTTCGAAACAATCAATGGATGTTTACAAATTCAACATGTCAAAATGGCATATAATCCCAGATTATTTGTAAATTTTAACTAAAACAAAATCCTTCTATCAGTTAAATACGGAAATTTGCTTCAGAAATATCTAAAAATCATGAAAAGGCATCAGAGTTTACCAAAGCTTCATAGAAATTTAAAGAATGTGAATCCGAGACTGTATCTACTTTTAACTGCAAAAAAAAAAAGAAAAAGGTTTTGCTTATATACAAAAAATTATGCTCTGGATAATGTCTTTTGAAAATACAAATCTTCATCCCTACTTTCTTAAAATTCAACGAAGGTTTGACAACGTTATTAATGACTGAAAACATTTACCCTGAGAATATACCTAGATGGTAACGACGAAAAAAGTGCAGTCAATTAATTACTTTGATACGAAAAAATATTTTCAATATTGTGCTCGGTATACTCTCTTTTGTCTTCAACAAACTCCTTCAAAATTTAATAAAATTCAATGAATTCGAAGATATTTCAAAGGTATTGATGTCTGAAAATGTTTTTCCACATACGTAACCTGAATGTTGATGACGACGGGAGCTATTTATAGCTATGATTCGCTTTCCCGACATAAATATTACAGGGTTGAATAAAATGACTTGGATGTAATAGGTCTAACAAAAAATGTACGAAAATGCAAAAAAAAAATCCCCTTAATAAAATAAATCATAAACATAATTATTTTTCAATATATGTTAAACGTTCTAATTAATGTGTGTTTAGATGTTTAAATAAGTACAATAAACTGATAAATATCATATGTACATGTAAAGCTAAGTTTATAGAAACATAAGTAAGTATATGTCACGGTAACATAATATCTATAATCATTTCATTTGACGAACGCAGTTTATCCTTGTTATTTACAGATAACTTGACAATTAAAACAAAAACATTTCCTCATTTAGTTTAATTGTCATACAGTTTTCGTCCACAATGTGCATGGCACGGTGTGTACATAGTATTAGATTACGTGTACATATGTTCTTGTTTACAATTATCAAAGGAACATGTTCAGTTACATTACCACTATTTACTATGCGTGCATAGGATAAAATGTGTACCTATGTGTCATTGTTTACATGTCCGTAATAATAATAGCACCATTTATCAGGTGTATGTTTCAATAAACAAATGATCGTCTGATCAAACACTATGTTTAAGTTTTGTCATAATTTCAATGATCACCCTTGTCTCTGTCATATGTGTACTTGCTTTGCAAATTTATTCCTTTAGCTTGTATTTTTCGTGGATGCATGTATTGACGTACACCCGACATCTTCTTTAATCCTTAAGTATTAGTTGATTTGTTTGAATTACTTGAAAACCTCTTCATGAGAAATACTAAATGTACTTTGTCTGTTGTCCGTTGTTTTGTATGATTTTATTCGTCTAATAGTTTTTTCTATTTTCCCTCTGATTTTCTCGTCCGTTGTAAAAATCTATTTTTGATTGTTTTAACATTTAATTACGGAAAGTTAAACTGGAAAAGACTGATTGTTTTCTTGCAAGTAACATGCTGTAGCAGGTCATTAATCAGGTTAATATGATTTACTAAGACATGTGTTATGCATTCAAGTGTTTTGCGCCTTATGAAATAGTGACGAATTTTGTTATATAAATGATTTCACACTTGAAAAGTGTTTCTTTTAGCTAGTTATAAAATTCAGACGTTGTTTAAATATCATTCATTTACGATAACCAGGTTAGACAAAAATGTGGCCGGTTGTGATTTTTATATTTTGTGTAATTCATTATGCTCATGTAAGTTATATACGTACTAACATCAGTTTTTAAACGAAATGTTCTTCCTTTTATTACTGTACTAATTGACTAAATGTATCTATTCGTATCCTTACTTTGTTATAATATGAAATATCTTGTGTGTTCATTTACCCGTTCATAGAAGAAAACAGATGTACGTATGAATTTATAAATCATTCTTTAAACTAAGCTACAAATTAAAGAACGTATCAATTTACAATTATATATTGTTGTGGTTTTTTTAAACTTTCGTTTGTAGCATATACGGAGCATATAGATATCTTGGTTGTAGAATACAGGTTTTTGCTTCGCATTAAACATTGTTTTCCTTAACTAGTAAGCAATACATTTACTCCCCCTTCTCATTTACATTTTTTACTTGTTCAGTTATTAAATAAAACTAAAAATGAGAATGGAAATCGGGAATATGTCAAAGAGACAACAACCCGACCAAAGAGAGGATAACAGCCGAATGTATGTTACTTTCGATACAGTTTCAACAAATTCATCCATTTAAGTAAGGTTCTTCAAATATCTAACTTTTTTTTATTTTGTTGAAATGTATCCTTCGGGATGTTTCTTATGCACCACCGTAGTTTTAACCATAGTACTTTTATCCTGAATTCAGGAAAAATAGAATAATTTGTTTCTGTCAACTATCTATCCTTGGTATAACCTGGAAAACAACAGTCAACTTCCTTTTTACTTGGTACACACATATTTCAAAGAAAATAGTGGGTTGAATCTTTTCTATAGCTAACTAAACCTCCTATATGTATGACAGTTGTATCAAGTTCCGTTATATTGACAACATTGTGTGAGTAACACAAACAGACATACATTGTAATTGGTTAACGTGGCAATAATTGGGAATCAATAAAAAAAAGTTGTTCAAGCATACATCAAAGATAATAAACCATAACTAAATTAAAGAATCACAAAAAGAAATTTCTAAATCTAACAAGGATGCCAAAACAAAAATGTTGTGTAGTTGAGAGTAAATTTAAAATAGTACAGTAAAACATCATCTTCAGATGAAGAACACTTTGCCTAATATATATATATAAGAGGGCACACAAACTGAACGTAACACTTAAATAATTCCATTTGTCCGAAGAGTCTATCTTGACCAACGAGCATCAGGAACGCTAAAAGCCATAAGTGCTTCAATCCGGGAAGCAAAACGTTAGATACGATTTCGAATACAATTACTTTTGGAAGAAGGGATGGCAATACTAGTGCAAAATATTAAAACAAATACGTAAATATGTTCGCTCCTCTGTTTCAAAAAAAAAAATTGATATCAATGTATATTATATAAATAACAGAACTCAAAAAGTAGAGATAACATGAAAGGTTCCTATTTTATTCAGATAAAAGCAATGTAAAGTTTAACTGGAAATTCGAGAGTAGTGCAGCGTTAAAAGCATAACAGGAATTGTGAAAAAAATAGAATAGCAGAACATACCACAAAAATCATCAAACACCGACTCCTTTACAACATCAATCATAAAAAGAAAGACAAACTCATAGTTTCTAATATCATTTGGTCCCAAGTATATAATTGTCTCATTAGCAAACACACTACTTCTTATTTTTTTATATCAACAGCCACCAAAGTACAATGCATGGATATCATGGCTTGACTTAAAGAAGTAAATGAAAACGGCTGTATTTGCCGGAGGCCATTAAAAATTTATTATATTCAGACAATCGTTATAACAATTTCTTTTTAATGCATAAGTTGATCTACCACACGTGTTACCGCTGCCGTTTTAATTTTTATGATCATTTCCTTCTAAAAAATGTATCAATTGAATATTCAAGTTTTATTATCGAAAACAACAACAACAAAGGTACATTTCAGATTTTGATACTGATCCTAACGCACTTTTGTTAAAGGAAGGATTGATTGTATGCTATCTGATATACTTTACCAACGGTAACGATACTTTCTAATATGTTTGGGGTGACACAAGTGTGTATCATTTTGTTTGAAGATAAAACAAAAATATTGTAGCTATGAATAATTGGTACTTATTAAGATACCGACTAGAAAAATGAATTTCTATCAATAGGTCAAACATTTTACATATATTGTGTACGGTTGTTATATTTTATGTAACAAAGAAATTGAATCGATACAATTACAATTTGGTTTTGGAAGATTTATCGAAGATGTAGGCAATCTTTAAACAGCAGACAGGTTAACGTTGTCTTACTCATGGCTTTAGTGACATCTTATCATTGTAACAATCAAATTCTAAATATCCATTTTTTGTCATTTACCTTACAAATACATGTTATAATTGGTTTTTAATGTACATGACACATTTGCCAATAGAACAATGTAAAAATAAAAAGATGTGGTACGATTAGCAATGAGACAAATTTCCACAAGAGACCAAATGACATAAAAATTAACAATTATAGGTAACCGTGCGACCTTCAACAATGAGCAAAACCTATACCGCATAGTCAACTATAAAAGGCTTACAAATATAAAACAATTCAAGCAAGAACTTAACGACATGTTGTATGTACAAAATAATGAACGAAAAACAAATATGATATACAGCAACAGAAGATTAACCCTGAATTACAGTCTCCTGACTAGGGACACACACCTGTATACAACTAATTATTGTGTTGTATACACTAGTGGGAAGTTAGGGTCCTTTTCACGATCACTAGATAAACTGATCGACGATACCAGGCTTATAAATGTTTACGCTCTAATAAACGTGCGTTTCATCTACACAAGACTTATCATTGACGCAGTAATCAATAAAGTTAAAAGGCCAAATAAAGTACGAGTTATAGAACATTAAGGACAAAAAAATCCGAAAGTTTTTGACAATTAAAGCTATGCTCATCTATTTCTGGGTAGAAACTCCTCTAAGTATTCCGAACAATTCAAAGTTTTGTAAATGTTTCAACTGACAAGATGTAAGCCATTGCTCTATTGTTTCACATGACGAAAGCAGGATATATTAGCATGTACAGTTGTTTAATAACTATGTTCAAAAAACCGTTGTTATTCCTAGAGGCTGATGAAATTCAAAGGACAATCGTCTGTTGTTGCATGTCAATATTTCATTCAACGAGTTGTATTACTTTATATGCAATGTTGTGTTATGCAATGTTGGCCGGGCTGTTGTCTCTTTCACACAATTCCTATTTCCATTCTGAATTTTATTAGGAAAGTTTATATCATGGACAACATAGTGTGATATATATGATGGTGTGTTATTTAAACGTATGTTCTGTAAGTAGCGGAAATAGTGGGAGAAAATAAACCCATTTCAAATGCATGTCTCTTAACGTGTCTTTGGGAGTTGTAAAAAGGACAGTGGTGCAAGAAACAATTATGTCAAAAACTAAACAACACATAAACAGTTAGAATATCATATAATTATTATTATGATAGAACAGTTTTGGCTGAAGACGTTGGGGAAATAGAATGGCAAACATTTGCAGTTCATGTAGACTCGTAAGAAAATGGCATCCTGCAAAAAAAATTACACTTTAGAAATTACTTCTGTCTGACGTGCTTTTAAATATTGACTTTCCCCAGTGATGCGCAAACTAAAAAAGTAATTGGTCAAGTATGGATAGACACATAGAAAGGTTTAGAGTAAGATGACCATAGTTTCTTATTATGGTCGCTATTTTTGCATTTGTGCTAGAAAGTATCCTTATTTACGTAAAACAATTATGAAATAAATATAATGATTCGACTTCGTCTATTTTGTCTGGTTTCTCTTAATTGTTCCAGTATATGTAAAAGCACGTCAAGTGGTAAGATTTTAACAACTTTAGAAATCAATATTTATTTGATTGCACAAAGTTAAATTAATTGATATATATCGACAAAGGAGGGGCGCAATATACCAGAGGGACATTCAAACTCATAGATCGTTAATAAACTAACAACGCCAAAAAAAAGACAAACAGACAAATAATAGTACACAAGACAAAACAAAGAAAACTAAAGACAAAGCAACACGAACCTCGACAAAAACTGCAGGATCGATAACTTCATAAAAAGAGTTGACTTAAAGTGTGTGGTCGAATGATTTCACATCTATTTTGAATGAGTTGGTTTTATGATGAAAAAAAAAAATAGAAGTTTGAACTTCACAATTGTTTCAACCTTCCTGTTTTAAACATAGTTTAAACTGTATACGATTGGCTTCAAAAGAAAGCTGTAAAAACTAATAAAAACCTGATTCAATCCATAGTCTTCATATTAGACGGAAAGTGTCCGACTAACATATTGAAAATGAATTTTAACTAATTGATATATTGCAAACATCTTTTGAAATTGAAAATCCGAAAACCGACAAACAAATCTATGCTGAGAATTATACTTAGCTCTGAATAACTGCTGTGTTGTCTTTGCAGTGCAATTTTTCATATCTTTGAACTAAAAAAAAATATTGTTCTAATTTAATCAAATGTAAATTATGAAATAGTGATGTAGGATTATTCTCATGGGTCAAACAGTAACTATAATTGACACATTAAAAGTAACGGGAAAAAATTTGTCGAAAAAAATTACGTTGCAAACAAAGATTATTACAACCTAGACCGATAATATTGAACATCAATTAATAGTTATATATAAACTGCAATTATAATTTTTTTTTCACATTAAAAAAACATAAATAAACCTTTGGATCTCAACCTTTAGTTGTACGTCAGCACAATAGCATCTGATCCTTAAACGGGAAACTAATAAACTGAAGAAATTGTAATGGCACAGAAAATGACGCAGACTAAGATATCATATGACTGATAATTCTTTTTAAGTATGTTTTTAATACAGTAATCTTGTCTTTATTTATACAGTAAGCAACCAATCCACCATGTTTTAATACAGTAATCTTGTCTTTATTTATACAGTCATCAATCAATCCACCTTGTCCAACGATAAAACAGACAGGACAATGTCTCGGTTTACCCAAAACCGATAAATGTCAGACAGATAGTAACTGTGGACACCGTGAGATTATCAATACATTTTGAAATCAATAACATGTATTTGAAGCAAAGTAAAAACTATTAACCGTGAAAGCAACTCAACGATGTTATTACCAAGTGTCCCAATATTAAAGATTTAGAAAAATATATCACATAAAAAACATTGAAAAAGCTTATTCGAACGATTGGGGAAAAGGTTTCACGTTATGATCCGAATCAAATCATCTGAAACTATCTCGTAGAAGATGGGTATAAAAGACCTGTATAATAAATTGATTTGCCTAATTCAAATAATGAACTCACAATGCTGATATCAAAGTTTCGTATTTAGAGTTTAGTTGTTTATGTATGGACAGGGATAACACTTAAACAATATAACGTTGATAAATATTTACTAATAGTCATTATTAAGACTTTATTTTATATTCAGTCTTTTTCTCTTTGCTCACAATTCTGACAAATGTGATGGTGATATATTTATAGTGATACCTATTATACCTGTAATACAAATTTGTGTTCGACATGTTTACCCTATACACACAGGGAGTTTTATCTAAATGACCCAATGAGCCATTGATTATAACATAGAACACGGAGACGAGGTATGATTGCCAATTAAACAAATATCTGACAGTCCAAATAAAACTCTAATCAAATGCCAATGTTCATGTGGATTTTTTGTAACATTGCACTTACTCAATTATTTGTAAATTGAAAATAGACTTATGTGATGAGGACGACAGAAACTTAAAGTTATCAGTTCAACTTGTTGATATTGTGATGGCACATAAAGGGGTGAGGACTAAGAAATCATATAATTAATAATTCTATTTGAATTACATCTGTAATGCAGTAATCTTATCTTTACTTAACACAATTAGCAATCAATTCACTGCCGTCATTTCTTGCCATTGACAACTACGTATGAAATAGCCAATACGTAGTTGTCATTGGCAAGAATTGACGGCAAAAAGATTGAAACTGTTTTACATGTTTAATTGTGTTTAACCTAGAAGGTGAATGTGTAATTGTCAGAATGCTCACTCATATTTAACATCCAAATTAACTTCCATTAATTTTCAACATTGCTATATTGAATATAAATTCGATACGTTTTGAAAAAAAATGTTTGGTTAATCAGCAATCAGCTCCATCAAAATTCTTATGAATAAGGCTAAATACATTCAGTATTAGAACTAGAAATATGAGTTTCCATTTTCTTCGATTCTATTGTTTCTTGTTGGTTTTATTTTTTTTCTAGACCGGATGTGCTGCCCAAAAGAATGTGGTAAAGAATGTGTAAGTAATGTAATTTGAGGTAACAGAAAGAAAAAATTATTGTCTCATTCTCTTTAAATTTGTTCATAACATATCGAAGAATAATACAACATTCATGGAATAAATCGAAATCCATAATTGATCCCGCCCGTTTTCCCCGAATGTGACCTACCGAATTTGACTTATCACCGTATGCATACTAACATGAGCGACACGATCGGTGTTACACTCAAGTTTCGATATGTTAATGTTGATCCTTCCTAGTTTTCTGTATTGTGTTTTGCGTATAATTGTTTGTCTGTTTGTCTTCTTCAATTTAGCCTTGGCGTTGTTAGTTTATTTTCGACTTAGTTTTGGTGTACCTTTGGTATCTTTTGCTTCTATTTCAAAGACAAAGGAAAGAATGGCTTAAAAAGGCAACAAAACAATTCTGCGGGATAGACAGGGTTTAAATACTTAAACGATAAGTTTCCTTAAATAGAGGCAACATAGTTTTCCGATGTTCAAATAAATACTGGTAGACATGAAAGTGAAAAAAATGTTGGCGTTGTTTCCGATGTGTCTTACTGAAAGTAAACATGTCTCGTTTTAAAAGTGACGTGGGAGTCTTTGTAATGTTTAAAAACGAAGCCTATACTTAGGAACCAAATTATCTTTCTCATGTTTACGATACAGAACAAACTCGTGAAATCACTAAAACTTTTGCTGTTCTAGTTCTTTGTGGTACAGCGTGGACAATTTTTCAATATATATTATATACTTACTATTGCTGTAATGCTCCCTATCAGTCATTGTTCAAAACAATATCTCTAGGAGCATGTTGATTGGTATACTTTGTAATAGATATTTGTGACTAGATATCTAGCTAATTATAAAAAATACAAATACAAAAATATAGGGTATGTGTTTCTTTTGCTGTCTTAGAAACGTGAACATACCAATTGATATTCAGGAACACCGATTGTCTTCTTCCTTTTTCTTCCCATAATTGTCAACCAATTTGAATCAACTTTATCATATAATAAGGGACTCTTTTTATCAAATGGGACATCAATTGTTTGTTTTGTATTATTGATTGTAATTACTTGAAGGAAAACTCTAATAATGTTAACAAATATTGATCAATAAACAATTCTACAAAACAAAAGCGATTAAGTTTAGAGTTTAAGTGGAATTCCGAACATTGATGAGTTGACAAAGCGCTACTAAATTCCAACTGATAAGTACTGTTCAAAGTAATATATAGATATAGATATCCCTTTTTCAATTATAATTTCAGATATCAAAGCGCAAATATGGAATATGTCCCACTTTTACCGACAAACCAGCGAGTTATTGTATGATAGCACGCGATGTTTCTAATTGTGGAGGTAATGATGCAGACTGCTCAGGTATGTGCCTTGTTTTTTTTTACAAAACAGAAATGAAAATGCAAATGATGTATAATGAAGAAAAATAAACAGCGTGTTTACAATTTGTGAGGTAATAAAAGTAATTCAAATTTCAAATACATTAAAACAAATTCAGTGTTATTGCTAACAAGATAAGTTTTAGTTAGACTTATGATCTACAACCGACTGCGGCTTTTAAACGAGGACCATGATCAAGAAAATAGCAAAACAAAAAAAAAAAACCCTTACGATATATCTTACAAATTCTTCACTTTTAAAAAAGTGAAATGAACACTGCATTCGTTTTATAGTCACCTTCACAAATTAGTTGCCTGATACGATAGGATGTGTCAGTATCACTATTCATTAGCGATATGTTTTCGTGGTTTAAGATAAGATATCTATAAGATACCAGGAAAGTCTTTTGATGCGAAACTTTAGTGATAGTGTTTTATATCCATAGGTGACCTTTAGAATCAGGACCAATTTCCATGGCGGGGGGGGGGGGGGGGGGGGGGGGATGGGTGAAGCATAGCAGGAAATACTCCCATTCACGAGTTTATGCGAGGCTTTGTTTGTTACCTAGATTTGTGTTTTCCTTATCGACTTTTTTTAATTTGTAAATTGTTTAAATTCTGTTACCTAAGAGGTGTATATGCAGAATAAGTCATTATTATATTTTTAAAAAAATATATATAAAAATTGAAATGTGTATTATGTCTGCTTATTTTTCCTTGAATTGTGTACATGTTGCAAAGGGCAAAGGGCAAAGGACTTAAGAGCAACCACGGATCTAAACAAAATTAATTTTGCATATGGTTGATGAATGACAATCCAAAAATAGTGATGACCGGTTTAACTGGACCTTACTATAGAAATAGATGTATTTTTTTTTATTATATTTTAGTAAAAATAGAATATTTGAAAATTACTGAATGTTCAATACAATTTGCCGTTCAGTTTCAATACAATTGACGATGGTCGGTGGTTTTCTCCGGACAGTCCGGCTTCCTCCACCAATAAAAACTTGCCACCACGAAATAACCCAAATTGGCGCTTATAACACCAACAATAAATCAATTTAATACAATTGTAATTTTCCAACAGGTACTAAGAAATGCTGTCCAGATCGATGTGGATCTAGACAGTGTAAAGAACCCGCAACAGCAAGTAGCTTTAAACAAATTGGATTTAATAAGTTTTAGTTTTTATATTTAGGTTATATTTTCATGTCATTAAATAGCTGTTACATTTTTATAAGAGTTAAGAAGTATGGGTAACAAGGGCAAAATAAAGAGCGAAAAAAAAGAATAGCGAAAAAAATTAACAAAAATAGACAATAGTGGGGGTGTTGAACTATAATCGAAAGAATAGAGAATAATGTGGTAAAGAGGAATGGGGAAAATGAGATGAAAAATCCCTGCTATTTCACACAAAGTGTTGTGGATATTCAGCCCTTTTGAATGCCTTTGCAGATATCTGAATAGTTCATTCTCATCTTCGAAGTTAAGTGCCGACTTTCGTCATTATTTTCCGCAAAATAAATGTGACCACTGTGTTCAATAACTCATTATTTTATAACTTTCCAATTTGGTCAGATTCTTTTAATCATATGCATTTGTTTTTTAAATAAAGGCTTTTCATTGGATAATTTAACAGTGTTTCCTATTTATTATATTCTATGATGAATTAGAGTTCAAACTTGTGTATCGTTTCTGTTGTATCAAATATTTAAACATGCACGTTTTGAATGTATTGATTCTTAAAATGAAAGTAAAACGACTAGTAGGTAAAGTAGACTTTCTAATATTCTGAGTATCATAAAACTTAAAACAGCATAAATGTGAATTCTTTATTATTCGTTGAATACATATTTTTTGTGTATTTTGTCGATACAGATGAACTACAATTTGAAATAATCAACAATTTACAAATGGTCTCGTTGCTAGTATGCAGACTTTGTCGATATAAAAAAACAACAAATATCTATGAAGTTAATCAATCTACAACAATATTAATAATTCAAATTTGATGCGACTGTCATACAAGTGAGAGGTTTAGCTAGATATAAACTAGGTTAAATCCACCATTTACTACATAGGAAAATGCCTGTACCAAGTCAGGAATATGACCGTTGTTATCCCATCGTTTGATGTGTTTGAGCTTTTGATTTTTACCATTTGATGAGGGACTTTCCTTTTTGAATTTTCCTCGGAGTTCAGTTTTTTTGTGATTTTACTTCAATTCAAATCAACCAATTGACATTTTTCTTTTTGAATTTTCTAAACTTTTAAAAAAATGATATTGTAGAAGCCTCGACCAGAGTGTCCTTCTACTCAAAAAAAGGTACAAAAGGAAGCCTGTCACGTGCACCAATGTAGTCATGATATGGAATGTACCCAAGGTTAGTTAATTCAGGTATTAAATATAAGTTAGCTACTAAGATCTAAATGCAGAACAACGACCATTTGAGGATTATGTAGTCGATTAAAAATCTGATTGAAACCGTCCATGATCGTCATTTTCAGGACATTTAAACCGATTTCAGTGTGGTTTTAAGGTTATCATTTGTGAGTTAATTCATGCTGGTGATTCAACTCAATCATTTGTGAGTTAATTCATACTGTTGATTCAACTCAATCATTTGTGAGTTAATTCATGCTGTTGATTCAACTCAATCATTTGTGAGTTAATTCATGCTATTGATTCAAATCAATTATTTGTGAGTTAATTCATGCTGTTGATTCAACTCAATCATTTGTGAGTTAATTCATGCTGTTGTTTCAACTCAATCATTATGTGTCGCTAGATTGGGGAAACAGAAAAGCATGCTTCGTTTCAGTGCATAGAAAAAAAGAAGAAGTAGTACGTTCATATCATGTAATCATTCATACAGTATAACCTGTGTTATCCGACACAATGGGGGACCAGAAAAAAATGTCAGATTAGACAACTGTCGGAATACTCAGGTTTATCTACAAGGATAGGCATATTTTCGGACGATGAAAATGTGTCGGCTAAAGCAGGATGTTAGAATATTCAGGTGTCGGATTAGGCAGGTTACACTGTATTTATATTTGGCAGCAAATTTTTTACGATGACCAGGACGATATCTGTTTTATCATGCTTAGTCCTAGCGTCTCCTTTTTAAGTTGTGATGAAGAATTCCATTGCTATAATCGTCTTTGAATCAATTGTATTAATGATATTGTTTCAGGTAAAATATGCTGTGTTGTTTTTTGTGGAATAGGATGTGCAGAACCAGTACAACCGAATGTGAGTTAACATAATGCAAACGAATTGAGTCCAATTTATCATCAATCTCTTTTAAAAGTCTATAAATCAGTTGTTTTGTTGAAAATCGGTTGTTAATTGTACGATTAAATGATTGTTTAATGCATGGTAACCAATAGGATTGCTCTACCAATAAGACAGTTGTGGCCTTAGTAAAATTTGCATGACGGGGAATGTTTGGTTTTCAATTACCTCTCACTCCGTGACTGGTATTGGCTAATAGCTATTGAAGTTGAACGCCATTGATGACTCTGAAGTAAACGAAAAGCACATTTACCCGGTCTAAATGAGAAGCTTAGTCGCTTTGATGAGTTTTGAGCAGATTATTATTCTATTTCTATAACAATAAAGGTAGAAAAAAATTAAGTTAGGTATTGAAAGGGCGGAACTTCTTTAAAATATTTAAAATTCTTCGATTGGATTCGAAATCGACTTATGATTTTGCTTCTCCAAATTTTCTTTAAATCAGTTTTATGGTCAAATAAATTGTGAATGGAAGTGTCACAGTGATCCTATGAGTTCGTTTACTGTCACCAGGCTTTGAAAGTAGATTTGTGGTTGGATTTCAATCTTTTCAAGCCGCATGTGGGTGGTTCTCATCGGGCATTTCCGCCAAAAAATGGGTCTCAAATGTATAGCCACGGATTTGTTTAGGTAGATTAACTGTACACCGTCATCCAGGATTGTAAAATAGCAGTATGAAATCAGTCTAGTTCTTTGCTTCAATCTGCAAACCTTAAGACGGAATGGCTTCATGTGTAAGATTGCTTACTAAAATAAAGACAAAATATTTGTATGATCTAAGAAGTAAGTAGAAATGTACCTTAAGTTTGATTGTGCTTTATTTGTAATAATGAAATCCGCCATATTAAGATATTTGCTTTATCACATAGTGTTCTCTAAATATCCGGAACAACAATTCTATCAATTGCCTTTTTTCATGATCTGTATTTTCATGGTGGATGTATATCTAATTTAATTGTTTCAGCTACCAAAATCCAGACATGGGGTTTGTCCACCAAATCCTAAAGGCGGGGATTCAAACTTTTGTATTCTTGTAAATGTGAGATATGACTGTGACGTAGACTCAGATTGTACAGGAAGTAGGTATACATATCACCATATTTCAGGATAATCCGAGCTAAAAAGCACCTCTCTTTCAAGCACCATCACCCAACAAAAGGAAACAAAAATAATTACAAACATGATATAATTTCATTCAAAAACATAAAATATTGTAGTAGTCTATTTCAGGTTATTATTAGGTCACAAATGCAATTTCATTTTGGTAGCACAAATTCTGGTATAAACCAGGACAAAACAACAACAGATTGATTGTGGACATGATTGATCTATATGACAGAAAAATAGTTTTCGTCTTAATTGAGACAATGCGGCAAATAACAAAATCAGTTTACATTTGAGGGAAAGAGTTCAGTTGTTTTTTACTCATTGTTGACTTTTGTTAGCTTAGAATTAATCATATAGTTGTATTAACTTTAATTTCAATTACACTATGGTTTATGTTATGTAATCACTGAAATAGTTTTAATGGCTAAACAGTGAGTATACTAAACAAAGTTTTACAGATGTCGAGAAGGACACAAGACTACCGGGGACACCTTAAATGACAGTGAAATCTTCCTGATCTTTCAATGTTTAAAAAAAAAATGATGAATGTTAGGTTATTCATTGATTTTAATACTAAATAACAACGAGATTTTTAATGGCTTTTTAAATGACATTTTGAGGTCTGCATACACATCAAAGATGAAATGTTTCTGGAAATCGTTTGACAAGGATCTTGATCAATACATAGAACGCTGTTTTATGTTTAGACCAAATTCATTGAAAGACAAGTAATGTTTATGGTCGTTTGTGCTGCCTATGATAGTCTTTGGCAATATATATTGTGAAGGTCTAGCTTGCCCTTGGTTAATGCACTGCATTTATGTTGTCTTTATATTGTCTGTCCTCCTTGGCATTTGGTATACGTATCTTTTTTAGAACATTTGGTAGCACACGTATTTAAGTTATCTTATATTTTCATTTAAGGAAATAAAAAATGTTGTGGAACACCATGTGGAGGACGAGCATGCACTAATCCTATAAAGGTATGTTACCTTTTTATAAGGTAAAGTTACAGTCTTTATAGTGTTAGACTGTTGTTGAACAACAAACACTGTATAAAATGTTAAAGAGTTTTGAAATTATCTAGTGTACATATTTCACACACACACACACACACACACACACACACACACACACACACACACACACACACACACACACACACACACACACACACACACACACACACACACACACACACACACACACACACACACACACACACACACACACACACACACACACACACACACACGAGTGTTATTGAATAAACAACAATTAGCACGTACGTTAGGAATCGAGTGTGCAGGAACAGAAAGAAACATAATCTTTAAAATTTTTCAAAACCATAGTAGGCCTATACATAACTGTAAAAGAGGTCTATATGAAAAATAAGGAGATGTGGTATGATTGCCAATGACACAAATGTTCAAATGAAGTGGATATAAGCAATTGATGGCAACCGTACGGCCTTCAACAATGAGAAAAACCCATATTGTTAAAGCTTTAAAGTCGGTTATAAAAGGTCCCGACATGAAAAATATGAATTAATTCAATTGAGAAAACCAACAACCTAAAGTAAAACAAAACGATGAACGAAAAACAAATATGACAACTATTGAAATACAGTCTCTTGTCTTTTGGCAGGCACATACATGATATGGCAGTTTTACATGTTTCCGTGCAACCAACACTCGCCCTAACCTCGAACAGAAATGAAACAACTATAAAATATGAACTAACTATAAAAATCAGTTGAAAACGGCTTAACTCGTCAGATCGATACAAAGCTGAAAAACAAGTAACAAAAACACTAGCCGAACTTAGCCGGGTATTGATACATCCACACAAGACATATCTGAGAATACTCGCGGTCTCTGACAGCTAGTTTCAAGCCAATAACAAATAATAACAAAATATGTCTAAGAATTAAATATCGATCAGTACACATCCAACATTTAATGGATTTAAGGTAAAGACGCCATTAACAGCCAGAAAAAAACATGACCTTGTGCAATGCCAAATAATAACACACTTTGATTGAGAATGTTCGAACTGAAGTTCCGTTATATTAATATAGATAATGAATATGGCATCATTCCTTAATCATGCTTTTTTAAAATTCTAAATAGGGTGATCGTACTGGATGTCCAACGTGTTTCAACAGCCAATCGAGTGCAGGTTGTCCCGCGTGCATACAATATCAGCAGCTGTGCAACTCAGACAAAGAGTGTAATCGAGGTCAGTGAATTGTACAAAAATCCATGACAAACTTTAAAAGTTTTGTTTGATGTACATTGTCCATAGTTGGCCTACCATAAACTTGACTGATATTGATAACCTTGATCTTGAGCTCAAGGACATTTGTCCTTTTACTTAGTAGACTTTCCTATTATGAAACTTAAAATTATTATATTCAACGTCAAAAGTATTGCTAGTTGTGTGAACAACATATGGAATTGATATGTTTTCAATGTCTAGCCCATTTTCTTGAACTTGTTTTTTCATCATCTGAAACAAGTAGATAACTTGTTGCTATTTAAAAGCATACTCATAGGAGGGTGTGTCGTAAGAACAAATGGTCTTGACTGGTCATTCTGTTGGTACAATATTACGTTATTTATCATGTTGGTTAAAAGAAGTGTGGTATGTTATCGTGACTTTTAACATCAGACCAGAGACTTTAATCATTTGTGTAGCGTATCAATTAGCTTTAAAAGAATATGTGTCGTCATATAGCGATATATCTGCCTTAAATTAAACCTTAAGAAAAACTGTTTAGTTCACGCAATAAACATACATTTGATTAGTTTTGTTCGATTAACGTCGCATGGAAAATTTTTCATGAATTTTCAGGATGAAACCTATGTTGATATCAAATATAACAATGTCATTTGCCGCGAGACAGTCCTCATTGGAGAAACAATAACCAAAATTCTCAAATAATTGCACTGCACATCCTGATAATAAAATCTTGAGAAAACACGGCATCCAAATTATTATTACTTCTGTGCTTGTCTTATTTGTATATTGTACTTTTTCAGGTCATCTTTGTTGTTTCAACCCTTCCTGTGGTACATCATGTAAAAGAAAATATGGTCGATAAATCATTCTTTATTGGTAACCAAAGAACCCACGAAAAATCTTACAACGGTTATGATGAGCTTATATTTCATTCTTTCGATTATGACTTAACTAATTGGGTCAATCATAGAAATAAAGAATGAATTAACCAGAATATGTATTTCATTTATACTTTGCAGTTAGTGAATGGTGTTAACTTCTCACTTATATCATACGTTTAATATAATTACACCATACATCATTGCACTAGACACCATATACCTTTTACAATTACATCATACATCATACACTTTCGCTTTAGTTAAAACATTGTTGTGACGTCATTCTATTGTTGTACCGGTTCTTTATTACAGTGATTGGACTATCATTTACCTATAAAAAACATAATATGTTACCTTTAACTGTCCAATATTTTTAAGAATAACCCTCCTCTTTCTTAAAAATATTGGACAGCTGAAGGTAGCATAATTGATTCTTACAGGTAAATTATGGCAAGCCGTTCTCGTCAAAACTATGTTTAAACCATTTTTCGAAAAATTTACACACTGAGAATTAAAAAAAACACTCTGAGATTAAAAAACCTAAAAACACACACTGAGAAATAAAAATTACACACTGAGATTTCATAAAAACCCACCGAGATTACAAAAAATGAAAAACCCACACTGAGAATTGAAAATTACACACTGAGAATTTAAAATTACACACTGAGAATTTAAAATTACACAATGAGATTTCAAAAAGACACACTGAGATGAAATAAACTGAAAAACACACACTGATAATTTGAAATAACACACTGAGAATTTAAAATTACACACTGATATTTGTGCGCACTTTCTATGCGCACATATCTAATTAGCATACTAAATCTGAATCTATTACAAGTTTAAACAACTAGGGGACAGAACTCGTTAGTCCTACAATTTGGCGCTAAATGTTTAATAAAAAACATTAAAAATACAACGTATAGAAAAACTACGTTATTAAAGATCAATAGAACAAGAAAAATACCCACTTACTCTCATTACAAAATATAACCAAATGGTGAAAAACTTTATTAAAATCATAAGAAAACATTGGAAATATCTGCAAAAATACAAACAATGCAAAAGACTTTTGATAAGGGACCATGCTTAAACAGTTTTAAGCAAAAAATCTCAACATACTGTAAGAAATAATCTGAATTATAGGCAACAAACTTATGAATATGAGTTAGCAAAAAAAGTTGTTAAGTCTTGAAATTTATTACGAATGTTGGTTGTAGGAACCGCATTTCATTATAATCACAAGAGTTCGGGAGACCAAGATATTAATCTCATGAATATTCATTAGTAATTTGCATATTAATCTCAGTGTGTATTTTTGAAATCTCATTGTGTATTTAACAATTCTCAGTGTGTGTTTTTCAATTTATTTCATCTCAGTGTGTCTTTTTAAAATCTCAGTGTGTAATTTAAGATTCTCAGTGTGTGTTTTTCATTTTTTTAAATCTCAGTGTGTAATTGTAAAATCTCAGTGTGTAATTTCGATTTCTCAGTGTGTTATTTTAGGTTCTGAAATCTCAGTGTGATTTTTTTAATTCTCAGTGTGTAATTTTATCGGAAACATGGTTTAAATATAGTTTTGACGAGAACGGCTTGCCATTGTTAATGATCGTTCAAGTACTGAAAAAAATCATTTAATTCACACAATTTGTAAATTCATATTTGAAAAAATACAACGAAAGAACAAATGGCCATTACACAAAAACATTTTATTAAAGTCACCTTCCAATACAATAATTTTGTCATTCATCAAGACGGTTTCTTGAAGAAAAAAACACTTTCAAATAGATTTTAACACTGCCAATACTTATTTCACAGCAATTTTGGGTTGTTTCCTTTAACACCAGTTAAGTTGATAATGCTCGTTGTAAAAATTGACCTCTGGTGTTGCTCTCATTCTTCCAAACATAATTTTCAGCTACAATTAAAATGAAAAAGTAAAATAAATTAATGCTTCTAACGCTTGATAGATCATGCCGCAATACAAGGACCACAAGTAAAATAATTTTATTATCACAATCAGTTTGATTGTTCATCTGAAGTAAATGTTTCACCAAGTGTTGATGTGCAAGCCACACATTGTTCCTTGGACAAAATAACTAATCAAGAATTTGATTAATGACCTAAACCTTACTCTGTGTACAAAGTGCATATCGAGAACTTGCTTCATGAACTAGGGGAATACAATAGTTTTCATAATTTTCAGGTGTTGGCGTTGATTTAGAAGTAATATAATGCAAAGCTTCGCTTATCAACGACGATGAATATGTGAAGCAAAATAGAAGACCACATTACCGCAGCTTTAACTGTTAAACGAATCAATCAAGTGTCCGATTCGCACTTTGTTCGTAGTGATCGTTTTTTTTAAACCGATGTACTCTCTTGAAACTAAATAAACGTAGGTGCTATATTTAATCATATGTTTGTTAAATAAGTTTTAGACAGTTTGTAATTGTGTTTTGTAAACTTGAATATAAAACCCTTTCCTGCATTGAATTGATTGAAAAAGGGGGTTACAGTAATAAAAGTATCTTTACTATTATATAACATCAAAATACGAATTACATTTGTTTCTTTCCTATGTATATTCCAAACAGTTTAGTCACTTTACTTTGTGATTTCAGATCTCAGAGGTAAAATTGATTGAATGTAGACTTACATTGCTTTGTTTTGAAAGAAAAAAAAAAGAAAGCGTTATTTGCAAAGGAAAATCGAGAGACAAAATTATATTTTGGAAACATAAAAAAAACCACAAGGGACATCAATACGCATATAAACGGAAAAAAAAGAGCGACACGAACCTTGCAAAAAAAAAAAAAAAAACAGAAAAAGGGGGATATCCAGGTTGTACGGTTTGGATAAACAAAACCGTCTCTTGCAAGACAACCGCCGAGAATACATAATTTTTGGTGAACGAGGAAGAAAAGAGAGGGCCTTCGTTATACTGTCATACGGGAAAATTGTTTTTATTTTTTTCATGTATAGTAGGTGAATATAAGTCTGATCGATTTATTGATCTCCGGACATTTTAGGGCGATGGCTTTAGATATAATAACTATATTAATTCATTTTTATAAATAACAGTTCTAACATTTGGATCATAACTCTTGTAAAATTCTTTAAAAAAATACAAGATGGGAAAATTCCGATAAACAACAAGAGAATTTAAATTGATTGCACGCTTGTTATCTCTTCCATTGTGCTCATTCCTATATTTTATAATGTTATATTTGAAACAAAATCGACTGCAGTGCACTTGATATGGTTGAATCTTTTTCTTCAACGTGAATCTGTCTTCAACTTTCAAGCCTCATATGTTTTTTTTCATTCACCTAATGAGAAATACAACCTCAGAAGGAATAAGGAAGTAATAGTAGAGGATTACATTTTAAAATATGTATGTATATAAGTTGCCATTATTTCCTGCTATAACTTTATCCTCTTCGTTGTCCGCACTAAAATCTGATATATCTGAATACACATTTGATTTTAATCCAAAGTTTGAAACAACACAATCACTGATTTCTACATCACTTTCTTCCTTTTATGCATTAATAATATACTTTCATGATCTTTATCCATTTTGAGACACCAAACGCATGTAAAGCTATTAACGGGAAATATATAAAGTAGCCCTAGCGCACGCAAAAAGCATGATACACATACACTGGGTCTTCATGTACATATAGCTTTACATGTTGTTTACCTTCAACTCTACTTATTTTGTCTAATGTTTGAGTTGAGCTACTTTTAAAGGGGTCACCATGTAGGATAATGTAAATAATAAAGTTTATCTTAAAACAATTTACACACTTGAAGAAAAAAAATCTTAACAAATGTTTGCATTTGTTTGCTTTTTTCACCTTTTTTTACCTTAATTTTTTAAGTAAGATAAGGAGAGAGAGAGAGAGAGAGAGAGAGAGAGAGAGAGAGAGAGAGAGAGAGAGAGATTGAACAGTTAAATGTGTTATTACCCTTGAAAGACGGATTTTTTCCATTTTCCAACATTATATCACATTTTAGTGCCACAGTAAGCCGTTCTAACGTATTTTTTGGGAGAAAACTTACTTCTTAGAAGGGTCGTAAAAGAGTCAGGTGCATATGCACATAATATGGGAATTTGCCTTTTATCGATAACCAAAAAAATAGAATATTGTAGCTAGCACGTTGACTTTTTACCAATTTTTGCGAAACAAGGGGAATAATGAGCTAAACGCACGAGACCACATGCAATGAGTTGTTTATATGATCATCATTATCATCATAATCATGTACCACATGAAGGTTTGAAGCAACAAGGCTGACCTTAAAAAATAATGCTATGAGAATAAATCTTTTTTTCAAGCATAAGAAAGAAAAGAGCAAAAGACTTTGTACCCATCTCTTAATTGAATAAACATAAAACATAAAAATTAGATTCAAAATAAAAGTTTTGCTTAAAGTACTTCCATGGATCAAATTGTTTAGTAAATATTCCTCGATTATCACTTTATACTTTTTTACGGTATCCGTCCTACTTCATGACTGAGCATTCTCCAGTTCATATCACTACATGTCAACAAAACGTTAACATGCACATTTAGTTTCAAGAAAAACGTAAGTGTTATAAGAATATCATCATAACGCCGGTTTCGCAACTTCAACTCTTGCAGTTAGTTGCGCGCAAAAAAAACATAGATTCGACCTAGCATATTGTTATTTAAAGTTAGCATGTGTATGCTCAATACATCATTATATTGTCTTAATTAACGCATAACGTTTTTGTAAATCTGTAATATATGACAAAGAGAGGTGAAGGATACCAAAGGGATATTCAAACTCATAAGTCGAAATTAGTACACTGAACACAACATAAAAAACTAAGGAGTGGGCAACACGAACCCCACCAAAAACTGGGGCTGATCTCAGGTGCTCGGGAAGGACTGAGCTTCAAAAGCTATCAAACAGAGTCACGTGGATTAAATCACCAATATGTCATCGTACATCAAATGAGCAAACACCGTATAGTCGGCTATTAATAGCACTAACTCTAAAAAACTGGGAATTGTCAACGACATGATTAACGACAAAACAATAAACGAATAACGAGCA